GTCAGGGCAGCGCATGGGGAGTGCAGGGGCTATGGGGGTGGAGGAGGGGCTCAGCACAGCATCCTCCACTTCCTGGAGCAGCATCACAGCATGGTATGCTGGACAGCCCTTCCAGAGCCCAATGGATGGATGGACAGACAGTCAGACAGACAGAGGGGTGACGTCTCCTGCAGCAAAAGTACCTTTGGGCCACTCCTGCCCGTGAGGCCAACGATGCCCTGGTTGTTGGAGAGGGAGAGCACATGTCACCAGGCCAGGGTGGCCCCGTGCTGAGGAAGGGACCATGGCCATGAGCCCATGCCAAGAGAGGGACCAGGGCCGTGAGCCTCAGGGCACACCCAGACTCACCCGGTCGCCCTGCTCCCCTTTGGGTCCAGCCAGCCCTGGGATGCTCAAGCCAGGAGCACCCTAGACACAAAGGGATGCAGTTTGGAGCAACGGCACATGCACTGTGAGCCCACGGGGGCTGTGCAGTGTCCCCTGTGCCTCCTGTCCTCAGGCAGTACTCACACGGGCACCTTTTTCTCCCATGTCCCCCTTGGGGCCAGGAGGTCCTTCCGGTCCTGGGAAGCCTCTTTCACCCTGGAGCAGATGAAATGGCACCATCAGCCCTCCCAAACCACCCTCCTTCCCCTCACTGTAGCTGGGGACAACCAGGCCTGGGGACCAGCACGGGCATCCCCTCAGGTTGATGCCCAGCTGTGCTGTCCCCCAACCACAGCCCATGGCCGTGCCCCAGGGGGTGCCAGCGTGGGGCCAGGAGGCACGGCTGGGGCAGGGTTACCTTCTCTCCTTCAACACCGGCTACACTGGGAGCCTGAGGAAGAAGCAGAGGGGACCATGCTGGGTGCTGTCTATGGCTCCCTGTCCCGGGGCTGGGGCAGGCAGAGGTGGACCCGCCAGGCAGCATCACTTACCGGCTTGCCAGGTGATCCTGGATCGCCCTGCAGAGAGATGGGTGTCATTGCTCACCCCTTCCCCCGCACCCCCTGCCCCACCTTGGGACCCCTCTTTGTCCTCACCTTCTCCCCCCGGGGGCCAGCTGGTCCTGGAGCTCCCTGCAGTGAGAGGAGAGACCTCAGGGGGCTGGCAGTGCCTGGGGATGGACACCCAGGGCACGGCAGCTCCTTACTCCTGGGGTGCCAGGTCCACAGCACCACGGCCGCTGCTCTGACTCACCTCTCTGCCTGATGGCCCTGGGCGCCCTGGGGCTCCTGCTTCACCCTGGAGGAGGAGAGGAAGAAGAAGATGTCAGGGGCATCCTACCGCCCCATGCCAGGGCAGCTGCTCCAGGACAGGGGAGGCATCACCCCAGCATGGCCACAGTCACCCCAGCCCACCTACCTTGTCACCCTCGGGGCCTGGCATGCCACGATCACCCTGCAGAGCAAAGCAGAGAGGAGTTTCAGGGAGCTTTCCTCCCTCCACACCACACTGTCCCTGCCCCGCACACTGCCCCAGGGCCCTTTGAGGTCCCATCTGAGACCACTGGGCTCTGACAGCAATCCCTGGATACAGCCACCACCCAGCCACAGGGACATCAGACCTGCTGATGCTCCCAAATGGCACAGTCCCACTCCAGCACTGTCTCACCTTCTCGCCCATCTCTCCCAGCTTGCCTGGTACTCCACGGTCTCCCTGGCACAGGAGGAAGATGGGGTCAGGGGCAGCAGGACCCATGGGTCCACCATAGGTCCCAGCGCAGCACCCAGACCCCTTTTCTGAAGTGCATCCCTTTGGTTCCCACACCACTCACCTTCCTGCCCTGCTCCCCTGGTGGTCCCTGAGGGCCCTGCCAAGGATGGAGAAGATGTCACCTCCGGCATGGCTGAGCAAACGCCCAGGCTGACCGGAGCAGGAGCCCTCTGGGGTTCCCTCAGGGCTTGTCTCACCAGCAAGGCTGGCTCCTGACCACCTTGGGAAACTCACCCGGTCTCCTGGGTCCCCTGGGCGGCCGGGTGGCCCTGGAAAACCTTCTTTGCCATCACCCTGGAGGTTAGAAAAGGCAACAGCCATGCTCATGAGATGGGGATGCCCATGAGATGGGGAGGGGTATCCCTGCTGAAAAGCAGTGTAGGGTCCAGCCCCAGTGTGGAGCATCCCCACCATCTTACCTTCTCTCCCTTCAGGCCAGGGGCCCCAGCAGGTCCTCGGGGTCCGGGGTCCCCAGGCAGGCCCTGCAGAAGAGCACATCTCAGTCCCCGGGGACACAGCTCAGGCCTGAGGCTGCTGCAGCCACACTCCCCTCTGCTGTCCCCGTTGGCCCAGGGACCAGACTCACTGGGAGGCCGGGCTCTCCTCGAGGCGCTGTCCCATCCACAATTCCTGGGGGGCCCTGTGGAGAAAGGGATCAGCCCCTGTGTGATGGCCCTGGAGGGCTCAGTCCCTCCCAGCGCACTGGGCTGCCCTTGGGCACCCACGGGACCTCTGTCCAGGACAGCAGAGGAGCCAGGGAAACACAGAACCACTCACCCTCTCCCCTCGGTCACCCTTCTCCCCCTGCAAGGGCAAAAAAACCCCCAAGTAAGTACAGATCTGGGCTCTTCCCATGCCCCCTCAAACAGAAGGAGAACACATTGGACACAGCCCATCACCAGTGGTATCAAGGCATGTGCATGCCATGTGCCTCTCCCCACACTGCTCAGTGCCAGCACAGCTCACATGGGTGTATGTGTGCGTGGGCACAGCTGGTGAGGGGCACAGCCCCTGAGCGGGACCAGGAGGAGCGCACAGGGGAGCAGCTCAGAGCTGCTGGCTGTTCCTCCACCTGTCTGTCCACACAGCCCCCCAGCTGTCCCTGTGCAGCTCCGCTGGTGATGTACCTTCACAAACTCCCCTGCAGGTCCCGGTGGCCCCATAGGTCCAAGTGGACCTGGGGGGCCTGGATCACCAAAGGGCCCCCGTGGGCCGGGGCTCCCTGGGGGGCCGGGGCTGCCCTGGAAGACAGAGGTACTGCGTTAGATGGGGCTGTGGCACAGGCTGGGGGTGCTGGGGGAGACCCCTCATCATCACCACCCCCACACTTACCGGTATGCCCGGCTCCCCTTTCCGGCCTGGTATCCCCTGTCCTCCATCCCCAATCACTCTGGTTTCTCCCTGAATGAGGAGAGGGAAGAAATTTCAGTGTCCCCATGTGCCCTGTTGTGTTCTCAGTGCAGGATAGGGACCACAGTGCCACAAGGCCAGGAGCCCATCAGGGAGATGACCAGGGAGACCCTGGTGTCGCCAGACACCAAGTATCAGGAGGCGCTGGGGGCTGAGATGTGCCCACCAGAGTCCCCACTGCTCCCCATGGACCCCCATGGGGCAGCCCCATGCTCATCACCTACCGGCTCGCCCTTCTCCCCCTTCGGGCCAGAAAGCCCCATCGGCCCCCGTGGCCCCTGGTAAGAAAAGATGAGAGTGAAGGGGTGCAGGGGGTAGAGCAGGGCTGGGGTGCGATGGGGCCATACTCACAGGATCCCCTCGGAGGCCAGGGATGCCCTGGGCGCCCTGGAAAACAACAGCTCAGGAAAGAAATTCAGTCAGGGGAGTGGGGATGGGATGGGATGGGATGGGATGGGAGCTCCAGCCAAGGCAGGGATGAACAGTCCCTGCCCACTGTACTTGGCGTGAGACACACGCACAGGGGACAGCAGTGACCCTGCCAGCTATGGATGCCCTCTGGCACAAGGACAGGGTAGGCAGAGGCCGGCTCAGGGAGTGGGCAGGGCAGGCAGGGCGATGGGAAGAGCCCACCATGCAGCAGTATCCCAAGGGACACCCCCACTCACCGGCTGGCCGGGGGATCCGGGATTCCCAGGGCGGCCAGGGTTTCCTGGTGTCCCATCAGCTCCGGGGAATCCCTGTGGAACAGGAGCATCACACCAGCACCTAGTGTACCCCAGCACTGCCAGAGTCCCCTCCATTGCCCCAGGCAGTGCTAGTTCTGGCACTGGGAGCCCAGGACAGCCCCATGGCAGAGCCGGGTCCCAGAGTGGCTTTCCCCTGCATGCTGAGCTGGGGCGTGAGGGAGCAGCATGGGGCTGGATTTGGGCTCTCCAGGGAGATTCCCCCTCCAATCTGGGTGAGGAGGGGGAGAAGGGAGGGATGAGGGGCAGAGGGAGGCCCCACGAGGCCAGTTCACTGTGCCCAGGGACCCTGAGGTGCCTGGACAAGGGGGATGGAGGTACTCACCCTGTCCCCCTTCCTGCCTGGCCGCTCGCCGTTCTCTCCGGGCAGACCCTGTGGCCCTGGGGGTCCTGGAGGGCCAGGCAGCCCATGGCGGCCCTGCAGGGACAGCAGAGAGGACAGACTGGGTGGTGGGTGGTGGCCAAGGGATGTTCCCTGTCTGCCCCTGCAGCGAGGGCTGGACAGGTCCCTGCTGCACATCCACCTGCTGGTGGGACAAAGGGGCACAGGAACCATGTCACTAGCCCTGCCAGGGAGCTGCCCTCCATCCTCCCCCTCCTCATTAGGATATTACCGGCTCTCCAGGGGGGCCTGGTGGCCCAGTTCGTCCTTGTGGTCCCTGTGAAAACAAAGCCAGTGGTAAGCATCTCCTGTAGGCCGGCATTAGCACAGTCTGGGGGACACAGCCCCTCCAAGAGCCACTAGCTGTGGTGGAGACACCAAAGCACTCACTGCCTCGCCACGGTCTCCTTTCTCGCCCTGCAAGAGGACAGAGGGAAGGAGTTAGGGGCTGCACCTCCATGCTCAGCTCCCCACTGTGCTGCTGCCATCAGCAAGCTGGGGAGTCCCTGATCCATGCTGAGCCCCCGTGGTGCAGCACGGTATGGTACAGCACGGCGCGGGGATGCTCACCTTGGGGCACTGCACAGTGCAGGGCTTTGGCCTCGGCTCCAGCTCTGGCTGGCAAGACAAGAGAAGCCCATGTGAACCCACAGGTAAGAAAAGCCTGGGTAGGAGAAGACCCCAGCCCCACAGGGCTGCTCCCCTCTGCACCCCCCAGAGCTCCCTGACCCTTTACCCTGGTGGAGATGATGGTGCAGAGGTCGTCAGTGAGCTCTCCCTCCAGCTCTGCCAGGGCACTGCCACCACCACGATAGATGTACCGCGGGTCCTCACTGGTCACCATGCGCCGGAGCTGCTCCCGGTCCGCTCCCTCCAAGCCCACCGCCAGCACCTGGACACCTGAGCCACGAGCACCCTCAGCACCCTCAGCACTCCCTGCACACCCCGCTGGGACCCCATGCATCCTCACCCCCAGCCTTGACATCCCTGGCTGCAGCGATGGCATCATCTCCTGAGGGGCCGTCGGCCAGGACCACCAGCACCGCTGGCACGCTGGGCCGGCGCCCCGCGCCAGGGCTCAGCAGGTAGGTCCTAGCAAAGGCAATGGCTGCCCCTAGAGGGGGAGAAGGAGAAAGGGGGTGGTCAGTGGGATCCCACCAGCCACTGCCCGGCTCCCAGTGTAACCCCTCACCGATGGCGTTGCCGCTGGGCTCCTCGTAGCGCATGGTGCGGATCTGCTCCAGCACGGTGGGCAGGTCGCTGGAGCGGTTGAGGAGCAGCCAGGGCAGGCTGCGGTAGCTGTACGTGGCCAGAGCCACCTGCGAGGGCACAGGGGAGCAGTGGGTACCACTGCCTGCCCATGCCCCGAGGTTCCCACCACCATGGCAGCCCCCTACCTGGGTGCCCTCTGGGCCCAGGTGCCCCAGGGCAGACACGGTGTTGGAGAGGAGGGTGCGGACGGCATCAGCACTGGAGGAGCTGTCACGGGTGCCATGCACCAGGAAAACGATGTCACCACGGGCATCCCTGCAGACTGCAGGCAGGGAAGGGGTGAAGCCACCACCAGAGCGGAGACGTGCCCAGTCCATCCCTGTCGTGGTCCCACCATACCTGTGCGCTCGCTGATGGAGGTCTCGGCGCCCGGCACGCTCCCCAGGAGTGGGCGGAGGGTGAAGGTGTAGCGCTGGCCCAGGCGCAGCCCAGAGACCTGCTGGTAGCTGGCAGCACCAGGCAGCGTCTG